ATCCAACGACCAACCCGTCCGTGGAGGATCAGGAATCAGAAAGGTGGAATAACTATTTTTTTTTTTCACTTTTACCCGACGTATTCCAGCATCCAGCTGCCATGCACGTTTGCATTGTAAGTTTCACTATAGCTCTGGTGAATTTCAATGGTGAAGTCCTCTAGAAAATCTTCAATAATTGTTGTTGATTGCAGATGTGTCTAGTAGTTCCCATTGATTTAGCTTGTAAAGCGGGGAGAATGGCGCTAGGCTACCGCACTGTGACGTCACTGCTGGAAGACGGCAGGAGGGAGGGGCTACTATATTTGGGCAAAAATGGCCGCTCCCAGACTCAGTGATCGCAACGAAAATTATTGTTTTTATTTTTTTACTGTTTTTCAGTGTAGTCCTGTTTCTCTGACTGTGACTAACTGGATGTGCTCTCTTCATCCTCTGACGTGGGAGCTGGCTCGGAGTTCGTCTGCCTGGCTGTGTGTTTCCTGGACGGGGCCGCCTTTTACAGCTGCTTTTTGTATCTCTGCTTCTGTCTCCTTGAACCCCAGTTGGCCTCAGCAGATGGCCGCTCACACTGAGCCTGGTTCTGATGGAGGTTTCTTCCTGTTCAAAGGGAGTTTTTCCTCTCCACTGTCGCTACAAGCATGCTTAGTGTGAGGGACTGCTGAAGAGTCAATGAGGCGATGCAATCAACTGTTTTTTTTTTAAGATAAAAAACTGAATCAATCTGACTGGATGATCTGATGAACTGTAAAGTACCTTGATATGATATTTGTTGTGAATTGGTGAAATAGAAATAAACTGAATTGAATTTATCATATCTTTGACAAACAAAGGTTGATATTATTGGATGCTGTGTGTAGTTTTCAGGAAGGAGATGATTTTAACGATGCAACGTAAATAAAATAAAAGCAAAGATGGACTCTGCTCCACCAAGCTGAAGGCTGCTGAGGTTCTCTCTGTGTCGGTTTGTCTCTTACGTTTCGTCCTCGATGTACTTGAGCAGCGTGAGGGCCTTCCTGTGGAGCAGCAGCAGGAACTGGGCCAGGTAGGTGCTCCTCAGGGAGAGACCGGGCTTCAGCATGAACACCTGGGAGTAACACAGGAAGTTGAATCAGCAACCCTCTTTAAAACGCAGGAATGAAAACGCTCCAATGCTACAGCCGCCATGAGGAAAGCTGCGGCTTTTTTTGTTAGGAGAAAGTGTAGCTGCAGCCTCCAGCAGACGACATGCGGCTGGAAACTGCTCCGCTGTGCAAAAAGACCCTCATGGTGCCAACAGGCTGCACACATGAGGTGCAAAGCTTCCATCAAACTGCTTTTTTATGTCTTTTTCAGCCACACAGCTGCATCCAAAGAAAATCTATAATAACGTTTTGATTTTTTAAAATTTGGCTGAGGTTAAACTTTTAGAGACACAGAGATAATCTAGGATTATATTTCTATTCATTTTCATGGAAATACTGCTTCACTCTCATCAAACAACAGACCAGGTCTGTTTGCAGCCGTTACCATGGTGATAAAGCAGGTATTTGGACTTTTGGCAGCTTCCAGTTTGTCCCATTTTGCAGTTTAAAATAATTTCTTGTCTCTCAGTGTTTCTGACTGAGAGAAGTAGCCACGTTTGCTCAGCCATGTCTTTGTCTAAATACGTCGTCTTCTTTTCTTTTTAGGGCTTTCATCACAGAATTGCCCAAATAGCCAAGGCAGCGGGTTTTACTCTAGTGAACTTCATATTCCTCTTCTACTCATTTGGCTTCCGGTTAGACAAGTCCGAGTAGCGCCATCTAACTGTGGAGCTGAGTCCCACCTGGTTTTTAGACGTACAGTGTGAGCAGGTAGATCGCATCAGATCGCACAGTGTGAGAACAAACATGGTGAGCTGCGAACTTTTAAATCCTGCGGTTTCATCGTACAGCGTGAGCTGTAGCTGCGCGCAATGATTGAAAAAAAAACCCAAAAGGGAACGCCAACCTTAAGTTTAAAAAAAAAAATAAACTTTAAACTACCTCAATGGGCGTGTATACCTTTAGTCATGTTCAAAAAACAATTTAATTACTTACTTTTTGGTGTTTTTTGAAGCGTATGGCGATCTGACCTTAAATTGTTTTGTGTTGTACATGACTAAAGGGATACACGCCCGTCGAGGTAGTTTAAAGTGTATTTTACGTACAAAACTAAAGAGATAAACGCAAATTTGACTACAGGTATGCTGATTTGACAGAACACCGGTTCCTGAAAACCTTCATTATTTAATATAAATGAGTATCTTTTAATGACGCTGCGTTCTTTGGTTTATTATGTTTCTTAGTGAAGATCTAAAAATCTTCTTACCTCCTCGATAAAAGATTTGACCAACGTGTCGTTATGCATGACATCTTGGAAGATATTTCTGGGAGAAAAAAAAAAAAAAGAAAAATTCAATTGAATTCAACCCTGTTTTTATAGAAACTGTCAGGGGGAGTGGTTACAGGTGTGCTCACAGGTCAGGGGTGAAGGTCTCGTCCGTGTGGATCACAGTTTCCGGTGGAATGTCCTCCTCGCTGTCCGTTTTCCAGAGCGCATTCAGCTCGGAGCGCATGTAGCGCCTCTGGTTGAACGTGTGCTCGTGACACGGAGGCATCTGCTTGACGGTGTTGATGTCCACGTCGATGTGTGTGGTCGGGTACGGAGAGTAGAGCACCTGGCGAAACGGCAGGACGAAGCTGCCTGTGGAGTCCTGGAAGCAGACAGAGTCGGCGTCAAAGTGGCGGGTCTTCCTCCTGGACTGCACAATGAGACGGGGCGGGACGCTACCTTCAGGAGACCCTGGACAAACAGACCCGTGTCGTATTTGAAGGAGGAGTTGGCCCTGCAGAGGCGAGAACATTTCCTCTCAGCTGGGGTGAGGAAGAGGCAGAGCGTCCGGACAATCTGAGGAGGAGCAGAGAAAAAACTAATGATTCAAGCATTAAACCAGATGATTAGCTCAACAGGTTCTGCTCATTTTCAGGGAACAAACTACAGCTTCTACTCTGTTAACCACTTGATGCTAATAAGCTACAAACTATTCCAATTACGCTAACAGCTAAGAGGGCACATTCTTCCCCCATATGCTGGCTTTTAAGCCCTCAATGAGGAACCAACATTTGTTCCTACAGGCGACACCCTGAGACAAAAACTGGTTCACCCCGAAGACAAGACACCCAGAAAGAAGGCAGACGGCGTGTTTTACGCCATTCAGTGAAGTGAAGCGAGCACAGAGCTGGACATTGGAGAGACCAAGCAACCACCGACTCCTCAGGACAGGACTCAGCTGTTCGCCTACACCTGAAGGCCAAAGGACACTCGTTTGAGGGCAACAACGCAGTGGTGGCTGGCCAATAGAGGGCGCCGCCCCACTCACCCGATTACCTTGATCAAGACATAAAAAAAATGTAAATATTTTGAAATATATTAAAGGTATAGAGGATGATCTATTTCCGGGTGGATCATCTAAATAAGAATTGTTAATCATTCTGGTGATATGTTTACGTAAGGCCGTCCTACGTGCTCGTCATTAAATGGTAAATGGCATGTACTTATATAGCGCCTCTATTCAAGTTAGGAGACTTGACCAAAGCGCTTCACACTACATTCATTCACCCATTCACGCACACACTCACACACTGATGGTGGCAAGCTACATCGTAGCCACAGCTGCCCTGGGGCTCACTGACAGAAGCTGGGCTGCCGTGCACTGGCTCCGCCGGGCCCTCTGACCACCATCAGTAGACAATGCAGGTGAAGTGTCTTGCCCAAGGACACAACGACCATGAAAGTCGGGGCTTGAACCGTCAATCCTTCGATTTCAGGGCAAACTCCTACATCCAATGCTACTGTCCCCCCATTAGCTATCTTTTTCTGCGCACTTTCAGCCGTATATCTGTGGTGAGCTACGGTTTCAGTCATTGAAGCTCACCTTTCTCATCGCGGTTCTTTGAAAACGGTCGAAGGTCGGAAGAGAAAAAGTGTCTACGAAGTGTGTGAGGAAAAAAAAAAGGCATCAGCAGAGGCAGATATATCCCAGAATGCTTTGCGCTGAAGGCTCTCGTCGAAAAGCATTATGGGATTTGCTGTCACAGCGGTCCGCTGTTGCTACCCGACAGTGGCGACTAATAACAAAGATGGCGCAGGTACCACGCGGTGGAGGAGCTGCGTGACCAACGGGGAGCGAAAAATAGTAATCATCTGTCTGAACGATCAGTTAACTGAGTTCACTGTAAAGTTCACTATATAGTCCCCGCTCTACATAGTGATGGAGGGATTAAGGGGTTAGGGCGGACGGTCGGACACAGTAAGCAATTTCAAATGTTGTTCTGTAATTAGTGTTGCATCGGTATCAATACCAGCATCGGACGGGGTCCCAATCCAGCACTATAATGGTGGTATCAGTATCGGCGATTACCAACAAATAGGGCACTGATACCATTTTGGAAGCTAAAAAATTCTTCAACTATTGTCACCCATTCCAGGTAGGCAATAAAAAGTTCTACTGGATTCACTTTGTATTAGTCTGTTTCCTGCTTCACAAAGGTAGGCAGCAGCTTGACAAAGCCATGATGACAATGATTTTACATCCAAGTAGTATGCAGTTCTACATAGATACACACACATCGATTTCAAACAGAAGGTATCGGCCAATACTGCACAGCCAGGTATCGGGCGAAAAAAAAGGCATCGGCTCAACAACAGCTATTATAAGCTGAATGGTTCAAAGCGTGGGAATAAAGTAGTGGTTTATAGTCTGGAAAATACGGTAATCTAATTGATCAAACCAGAGCAAACCTGATTTCTACTGACAGGCAGGCAGCAGACATCATTAGAAGAATACTATGGAGTCACAGATGAAACTCAACTCTCTGTTCGGATGAGTTTGGACGCCTAAAAAGCTTCTCATAGGGGAAGATTGAGGACTTTTTATGTTTGTTCTTCAGCTGTTGTGACTTTCATTTTAATTATTGTGGATTGTAAAGTTCATAGTTTATCCAAGGTATTCCCTTCATAGAAACATAACATATATAATTCTGTAAATGAATTGTTTATAAGGAAGAATTGTATTTTATATATATATA